CAGTATCAAAAGCAAGATTGGAAAGAACAGGATTTTTAGCCCTCTCATTTACTACAGTACATGGATTTAATTTATACTCTTATAACTACATTGCAAGTACTTGTAATAATTAATTTTTTTTCATTAAATTGGCCATTATTTCTGTATTACAGATTGGAAAATTGGCTTTGAAGCAATCACCTTGGGCCAGCCTACTGAAAAGTAATCTAAATAACAATAAATCATTGTGTGCCGTCAAGTTGATTTTAATTTATAGTGACCCTTTTCAGGGTTTTCCAGGTAGAGAATATACAGAAATGGTTTACTATTCCCTTCCCTGCTCTGGGACTGTTTTCCCTTCTTCTGGAGGTGCTCTGGGACTGTTCAATTTCCCCAAGGCCACACAGGCTGGTTCTTCTAGGATGCACTGTGGGGAATTGAACTCTCAGCATCTGGCTACACAGCCAGATACCTGACTCACTCAGCTATCTAGCCAGTTGAAGAGTAATCCATAGAGTGCCTCAGTAGACCATACAACTTCAGGCTCAGGTCAACCCTGCCATCCTATTTAATTTCTCTTTAGATTGGCTTTTAGGACCAAACCCTCAGAATAAAACTTCCAACATGCAAGAATACAATCAACAGTGAGACGCAGTTATAAAACAATGGTGGGACCAATAACAGAGGATCAATAAAAATAGGACTGTTCATTTAAAAAAATAATGCCTTGTCCCATTAAAAATGACACTTTGCAAAAAAAAATTCAAGCAGGAAGTTCAAGCAGAAAGGTTCTACCCTAACACAATCCCTGGTGTGCTACTTTTCTATCTGCAGGGGGATACTCTGGGTCACTAATTAATCCATTTATTTACAAGTAGGGACAGATTCAGAATGTATGTTGTCACCTCCAGCAATTATGGATGTGAAGAATTCTCAACAGTGTATGGTAAGGTAAGGCGGCCAATCAAGCAATCTCCAACCACTGTGAGAATTCAGTAAATACACAAACCACTTCCCCTCCCATCATGATTTTTCCCATCATGATTTGTGCAATTGTTCCTTTCCGAAGCTAGGCACACGTGTGCTTGCACACACAGAGAAGGGGAGAGAGAAAGTACTCAAAGGTAGGTATCATGCTCACAAAAACACAAACAGCCCCCCAAGGCTTCAACATGTCAGAAGTCCACACATCAAGGTAGCATTCAGTAACATTTTACATTTTGCACCATTGTACAGAAAAGCCTAAAAACGTATACATTCTTTCCAAGACCAACAAAACAATCTCTCTCACACTTTCTCTTGCCATGAGGATAATATGTGTGTGTATACAGTGTGTGTACATGCATCTGCATTTTCACCTGTGGTGTGCAAGGATGCATCTGAACTTTATTTACATCCCTACTTGAGGGCTCTGTCAACCCATGTCCACATCATACTACTGGGCTTCTTTCACAAAAACGCAAGGATCATTCATGCATCATTACTAAATAGCTTTCAGAGAAGCAGCTGTTAAACCTTTTATTTAAAAAATCAAACAAAAAAACAGTAACTAAATCAAAAGTCTTGGGGCATCTTGAAGACCATCAGATTGATTTCTCTATGATCTTTGGCAGATTACCATCCACTTCTTCAGACACATCTGAAGAATGTGAATGACAGTGGACTACAGAGGAAGAATCACAATCCATTCTTCTCTTACACACACACCACCACCACCACCACTACAGGAAATGTTGTATTTTCTCTCAGGCTAGAAAACAGCATCACTTTGGAGACACCTGTGGGCAGACAGATTAGTGAAAATACTGTTGTGGGACAGTAATTTACCTAGTCTTATTTACAAAGCTGCTTTAGGTGCTGGCATTCAGCATCTTGGGCTAAGAGAGACTAATTGAAGATCAGCCTGCCAGTTTCATAGCCAAGTAGGGATTTAAATGGAGGTCTCCTAGTCCACGTGGCTAGCCATCATCCCTTGCAGGTGTAGCTGATGAACAGCTGGGGTTCCCAAATTCAAATCTCTCCTAATCCTCTAGGAAAATGGCTTTGCTTCCTGAAGAAAAGGTAACTTACAGACTCCCTCAACTTCAGACCCCCTCTGTAACATTTAAAAGTAAAATAAGTTATTTCCTGCAAACACATGGTATGTCAATTGCTCTATAAATAATCAAAGCCTTAGCGTATATTCACCAAGGACATTGTTCCATATAGATGCAAAAGAATTTTTGGTCTCTCACATGCTCTGTAATCTTAATTGATTAGATAGGCGGGATATAAATTAATTAATTAATTAATTAATTAATTAAAAGGTTTAGTGTTTTAAATGCAGAACAAAAGCGAAATGTGCTGCTTAAAGACCATTCCATCGTTCTTAAACCACTCTTTGAGAAACTTATAATTTTTAATTACACAGACTATAAAGAATATGAAGCTGAAACAGGCTTCTTTACACTGGATGCACATTCTAAGATCATGTATCTACAGAAAGCACAAAGTGGACTTAAAGTCACATGTAGAAAATTATAGATATCTGAATCAATCCACTCTAGATTTTCTTGCTCTATCCCTTCTCTGGCCTTATGTTTCCAGTACTTTTCCACATCAGGTTGCCAATTTTTAAGAAGCCCACATAAAAATCCATATGCATCTTCTCTTAATATAACCATTTTGTATACTATTTTGCCTCATATACACAATTTATGTAAGCATTCCCTTCATATTATATTTTCTGGCATGTTATTTCCACCAACATATGCATAAATATACACATTTTTTACTGGAAGACTGCATCTTATAATTTAGTAAAGCTAAAATACTCGCAAATAATTATGTTTTGAAATGTGTTCTGGTTGAGGAATTGTGAATTATATAAGTCTGCATTACACACTTTTACCCTCCCTCCCCAACCCAGCACCTTACCCCTACTCAAAAAGCCCTCATCCTTCCATTGGATAGAACATACATGTGGATTTTAAACGGTTCCTCCTCTACTCCATCCTCACAGAAACAGACATAAAATTAGAAACAACACAGAAGGGGCTCAACTGGGGCCCTTAGTACAGTATATGTAGGTGGAAAACACCTGTAGACACAGCTGCAAGGAAAGAACCTGACAGGAGACAGCAAGAAATCCAAGCCACCTTATGCTCTCTTTCCATCCTTCAAAGTGAGAGAGGTCTAAAGGGTCAACATAAATGGCAAGAGGACAGCTTAGGAGTCTCCATTTTGTTTACCAAGAGGTTCATTTATTTATATGGCCTTATTCTGTACTCCTCAGCCCTTTGCTGCTTTAACAGCCTTGAGGGAGCAGATGATCTGTCCTGCGGAAGACCCCGGGGCCAAACACCTCGGGGGACCCAAGGACACATTCCATGTGTTGCCAGGGAGAGAAGTGGGGATGGTCGATTTCCCCATCGGCTTGCCCTCCCCCCGCCCCCCAGACATCCTCGGGGAGAGAAGAGGCACCAGAACTTAAACAGGCGATGGCGAAACCAACCATTTCTCTAAATTTCAGGAACTCTCTCTAGAACCGTTGAGGTTTTCGTTTGCACCGCAACGGGGCTTTCGTTACAAAAGAGGGTTGGAGGGGGGGAAGGAGAGAGGAAACGCTCCGGGACAACGCCAACCGCCCTGAAGGAGATGCGCGCACCTCCGACGCCCCGCAGACTCGCGCTCCCGAAAGCAAGGCACCGCCGCCCATGCCAGGCTCCCCCCCCCGCGCATTCTCTCTCTCTCTCTCTCTCCCGCCACCCCGGCTCTGTTCGATGATCTGGAAAAGAGTTAGGGTATCCCTCATGTACACCGTCTCTTCCCCCAGTCTCCCTCCCCGACGGCAACATGTCCATCGAACTGGGATCGCTGAGTGCCGGTCACAAAAGCCAGGGGCAACTCTTTTATGGAGGGAGAGAGAGAGAGAGTAAAAAGTGAACGATGAAGCGCCCGGCCTAATGTTACGAGACTGACAGAGCCTGTGTGTGTCTTTTCAAGAGCAAGTCCAATTGAATTCAATATAAGCAACTTCCCGATCAGATCCCGATTGGCCCCGGGTAAAAAGGCACGAGTTTGTAAGGTAGTTTTAATGGGCACGAGTGGCTTTCTTCCCCCAATTCTGATTTTCGTAAAAATGTTCTACGAAAGCCATGCAAGCTGCTCCTACGGCGACTGTTACGTATGGTGTGCCTTGTTTTCCTGGACGTGATTTTTGGTGGCAACTTTGTTTACCGTTGTTAGTGCGGTATTTGCTCGATTCTGTTTTGATTTGGGTTCACTTGCTGCTTTTAGCTTTGAAATAATGTATTTTAACGATGTAAGCCGACTTTTGAAGGAAAAAGGCGGGGTAAAAAATGTTTTAGATAAATAAACTGGAACCTCAAGTCGCAGCTTAAGAGATCCCCTTCCCGGGCTCCCCCTTGGGCAAATCCTATTTCGTTCCACTGACTGTGGTCTGATGAAAGAAGGGTTAGGAAGAGCCGAAAAAACTCCGCCGTGGGATTTACACCATCCTTCCTTTCAATCGAGAGACACCGAGAGAGGCGACGGAGAACTTTCCAGTGGGTGAGTAAGCGGAGAACTTCCCCCAGGCCAGAAAGCAGCGCCTCGGATCTAACGTCGCTCATTGTGCGAGGGAGGGTTCAGCTCAGCCACCACACGAGGCGGCCGACCCACCGCCCCCGATCGACAGACGTCACGCGCTGACATGGAAAAACTTTTATTGTTCTGCCCAGGTCAATCTAGAATATACAAGAGCCATGAAAAGCCTCTTACTGGGAGCCTGCCTTCCGACGGCCGAGCCCGGATCGCGTTCACTCCTAGGTCAAGCGCCGATGGTTTCAGGGCTTGTTTGTATTTAATTAAAAAAAACACTTAGGTTCGCCGACTACTGAAACGCAAACTTCTGGATTATTCTCACCGCGCCGATCAAACCCCACAATAGCTTTACAACAAACAAAAAAGAGCAAACAGGCCACGCCACACAAGGGGGCCACGGAACCCGGTAGGGAGATTCCCCCCCCCCACGAGCTTACCTTCAAGGCGAACTTGTCTCCCGTCTTCTTGTTAAAGATTTCCAAAACTTTCCCATTAATCCCCAGCCCCAGGACTTGCGAGGTCACCCTGTAATCATCCGTGATGGCATTCCTCTTGATCGGGAGGGCGGACTTGGTGTGGAACTGGGGGAACTGTTGCTGTTGGGCCAGTGGCGGCGGCTGGGGCTGGGGCTGGGGGGCGGCCGGCGGCGGCGGTGGCGGCGG